AATCTCTCCCAGGTACTGGGATACAGCAGTGAAAGTTCCCACTGTCTTGGAGCTTCCACTTTCTTGGCAGGAGACATGATGACAAATTAATGAATGAATATGGTCTAGAGGTGATGAGTGCTTTGTTTCTGGGTGCCAAAGTCTAGCCCATCTCCTTGGGCCCTCTTTTACCCTTAATGTGTAAGTGAATGCAATGCCCTCTTGAGCTCAATGTGACCTAACTTCAGACACTGATTTTTAAAAACTTTGTGATTACTATAAAAATTAGAAGACAAATACATTGGTGTAATGTTTTAGAATTTACAGAGTGCTTTGTAATCCATGTTCTCAGTTAACCACAATACTAGGCAACATATAAGGAAATGGTTAAATGCTCCTATCTCTACAGTCAAGCTGCCCAGGATCAAATCTTGGTTTCTTGACTTACTAACCATGTGACCTTGAACAAGTTACTAAACCTCTCTAAGTCTCAGTTTCTGTATCATATAATAGAGTCTGACTCATAGGGATGCTTATCATAGTACCCAGTAAATTTCCAGCACTTTATATTTACTTTCAATCAATTAATAATAATTAGATAGGCCAATCATGTAATATTATTCCCATTTTATAGATGAGGAAACTGAGGTTCAGAGTGGTTCAAAAAATTGCCCAGCCAGTAAGTTCTGTTGCCTTTTGAACCCAGGTCTTCTGACACTAGACCCAATTCTCCACTACAATGCTTTACTTATTAGTGTATCATGTATTCATTCAATAATTATTTACTGAACATCTAAAATTGTCAGTCACTGTGCTTGATGCTAGGGACTTCTGATATAATCCTAATATGGCTGATCATCTTTGGGCAACCCTGAAATTACAACTACCTTGAGACAGGTCCCAGCACTTTGTTTCATTCAGCACGAACTGATAATGAATTTTGGAGATTTTACTGAAGTTTTTATGGAGGATAGAGATGAACATTATACATTAGACTGCAAACTCTGCAAAGGCAAGGATCATGTCTTACTTATCAATAAACAATCAACACAGTACCTGGCACATACTTGCTGAATATTTGATGAATAAACTACACATCATACAGCAAGATCTAATCCATCTTCCTCAATAACTTATCACCTGCCCCCATAATGCCTTTCCCAGCAGCTGTCCAAAACTGTTGATGAATTAAAGTTGAATTGCACTGTGAAGAATTCTACCTCTGTGAACTTGGGATTCTTCCAGGTATTCCTGGCTTCCAGGTACAAGTAGTTTTCATCTGAAACCAAGTATCGTGATATTTGGGTTACAAAAACATATGTAAGTCAAAATATTGCATCAGGGAGCCAATAGTTGAGTAAACAATAACGACAAAATGTACTCATAGAAAAAAAAAGATAAGGAATGACCTAAGTGCATGCTGAGTGCCCAAGGAAGAGAACTGACAATAAACGCTACTGGAGTTCAAGGCAATGATAAAGAAAGCAGGAGGGTGGTAATGCATCAACCTGATTAAAAAGAATCTATTCTAGGGGCCAGCCGAGTGGCGCGATGGTTAAGAGCTGGCGTGGGATGCCAGAGGGCCCCGGTTCGGATTCCACATATGAGGGCCAGTGACACTGCCCTCCACAGCTAAGATGCTGAACAACAGCTCAACCTGGAGCTGGGCTGCCATGAGTCGCCGGCGACAGCGTAGGCTGCAGCCCCTGTGGCAGTGGATTGCCATGGGCTACCGTGTGTAGCCAGCAGCCAGCGTGAGCGGCCAGCAGCCGCAGAGAGCGGCCGTCCAGAAGCCGGCGACTGATATGCCTCGCCCGGGAAAAGCGCAATGATGGTGCCAACTTGGGCCAGTGAAGCAA